TGTCCTGTGTTTTTTGTGGACTGTGTGGAGATTAATAGCAGCCTGCAATAATCTGTTGTCCTTTGTGGAAAAAACTGTGCTGCTGTTTCTGGAAAGAAATAATTGGTACATAGCTTATAAAGTCAACGTCTGAATTTAATGGAGCATAAAGGGGTGGTATTTCTCATGAAGGAGGCATATTATCCGTTTAAACAGCTTTCAGTCTTGCACATAAATTAGACCTTCAACAAGCTTTGGAAAAAGAGAAACCACACAGTAATGAATTAACATGCTTGCATATTCCTAACAAAGAAACCATCTCTTTTGAAAAGAAGAGAAAGCTCTACTGTCTCTGTTACATTTGGAAATCTGAATTAATTATTGACTTTTTCATATTCTTTGCAGCTACTTTGGCCATTTATTATAAAATGTATATATGGTAATTGTTTTACGGGAGCTTATAAAACTCAGCCTGCAAATAAGATAATGTATGACCATTTTATTACATACGCCCTTCAGGCCTTCGAAGAGCTAAATTTGGCATAAATGAAAAGTGGTCAATGCATAGTTTGTCAAGGTCTTTTCTTGAGACATAAAGAAAGAGAATTTTATAGCACATTTATGGTGAAATTCTCAAACACCTGCAATCAAAATCCATGATATATTTTTTCTCTAAAATAGTCCTCTATCTAAAAAATCTTATTTGAACTAATTTCTACAATCCGTTCTGACATATTAAAAATAACTTAATAACCTGTAGAATATGGAACTTGACAAAGCCCTTTCCAATCTAGGAAATGGAATACCAGAATTTGTACTCTGCAAAAAAATGAACATTTCTCTGTGGTTACACTTTCAGGGCATTTAAGGAATAGTTAGTATAAGGCAGACACTTTTCACGTTGCCGTTTTCTGAGTATTGCTGCAGCTGTGTAACGCGGGCCTCCATTCTGCTAAGCCCAGAACACTAGACAGGGTAGCAATGGAGGGAGGTTCCACAGCTTCTCTTGTGTAGCTCATCCCAGCTGCTACATTTAATCGTCCACTCCACCAACATTATCTTGTCTCTACTAAACTAAAACCTTCCTGCATCCTCACTGGCTCATTCTGTTTCCTCATAGTTCCCTCATCTCATTTTATGGTGATAAATAGATAAACAGTAAATCTTATTAAAATCCCTGTTCCAAAGGCCCTATACAATATATAACAGAATTTTACTTAACCCCCCATAACCTAATGTTAAGAAGACTTATAAGCAGAATATATAAAAGAAATTGTATTTATACAGAACATTTTATTTAACATATTTTCACAAATCAAAAGAAGTTATCACATCCATGTTTCAAGACCATGTGACAAGTAGAAATTTGCAAAAATGATCCACATACAAAATGTTATGCTAATGAAAGGTGGTATAATGAGAAAGAATTATCAACAATAAAATTAATTTTAAAATGGCAGTAGCCACAATGTCCCAATTAGACTGAACTTTCCTCCTTGACTATATTTTCATTACTACAGGGACCAAATTTAGAACAACACTGTCTATGAGCTAGGACACAATGCCTCTTCTGTTGTCTTATATATTGAGACATATGCCAGTTTATTGTGCACAGGGATAGAACTGTTTTTTCAATTTGGCTAATACAAAATTAGAATTTGGAGGTTAAAAGAATACTAGGTAGGGAATTGGTTGAAACTGCAACCACTGAATCACTTCAAATGCATATCAGTTGAAATAGCTCTACCGCTGGAGAACTCTGTGGTCTGGTACAAAATCCTAAGCTACTGTGTCTTGGATACATTTCTCTTGTTGCTGAGACAAAATACCTGACGCCCAAAATTAAGGAAGGAAAGGTTTATTTAGTTCAGTTTGTGGAGGTTTCAGTCTATACTTGGCTGCCTCCAAGGCAGGGTGGCACATGGCAGAGGGCAACAGCTCATGGCTGTGGAAAACAGCAAGAGCAGCAAAATCTAAAAGCATGGAGGCAGCAAGCAGCCTCTTTCCCTCCCTTACATTGTATGCAGGCTGCCCGCCCCAGGGCAGGTGTAGCACTCAGGCCCATAATCCCAGCACTGGACTATGAATCAGTCACAAACTCTAGAAGCCGCCCCTATGACTGCATGAGGCTTTCAGGGGGCATCTAGACACAAACCATAGCACACAGTCTCTGTTCTCTCACCTCTAAATGGGAATACAGCTCTAACATTTTTTATCATAAGAGTTTTATAAAATCATAGATATAAAGAATACAAAATATTGACAAACTATGTGCCCAGTGGTGTTCCTTATTATTATCGTTGATAATGTATTCTTGTAATTTTTATTATTATATTTTCATTCCCTTTAAAGAGAGGGAAAAATAAATACAAATTTTATGTGGTGTTTTTAAGAGAAATTATATTAACATTTATGCCTTTTCATTCAAAATATTAAAGAAAATTGTGTTTTTCAAGCATAAGGCAAACAAGTTATAGTTGAGCATAAAAATTCTTCAAATCATCTCTGTAGGTAGTTGTAAGAAAAGAAAAAAAAAATAAGAATTAACCATGAAAAAATATTAGAAAATGGTTGACAATATAGAATCCATTTATTGTAAGCATTAGTGAGAAGCCAGAATGAACTATCTTTGTTTTCTTACACACAAAAAGAAAATTCCTAGAGGTTACCTGTTCTTAATAATTTCAAGCAGTGATCACAGCACCTTGGATTCACCACATTTAGGGAATATTTTGGCACTTGGGGAAGATGGTTCATGGAAAGGTAGACAAATCTGTGTTATAATCACAAATCTTTCCCTCATCAGGCATATGATTTTCCACAAATCCCTTAATTTCTCTAAACACTAGACTCCTATTATATTCAATAGAGTGATCCAGACTTGGCTTGAGAATTAAATAATATGGGTGCTAAAACTGCAAGGTCATACATCTGTTTAGACTATTCTCAATTAAACAAAAGAAACATAACCTACTTATACTCTATAATCAGTGTGAGCTTTCACTGAGCATCTTAATTGTCACCTCACTAGGGAAAAATAAAAAGCAACATTAGCAAAATCTGATAAAACCAATATTGCTCAATAATTTAAACATACTGTTTAGGTAGCTGTGTTCCTCTTGAAAGAATCATTGTCTCATAATTCCTTGCTCTTCTTTGCATATTTAAATAAGATGTAGAAATGGGGATATGTGGCTTATGTTACCTCACAGAACTGTGTAGTTGAGGAGAACCTACCCATATATAATAGGAGGAAAGTTTTCCACAAATAGCAGTGTTTGTTTATGAGACATGAAACCTGTTGTTTCATGCCCACTAGCTTTAACTCAAAACGATAAGAAACCATGATGTTGTAGTCATGGTTTGCAAAGAAACAGATTTAATACAGGACATATAAATGATAGGATTCTTTTATAATATTCACCCAAAAGGTCAAATACAGAAGAGCAGAGGAGATCTATCCACACACTGGAGACCGAAAGAGTCCATAGGAGGGCCTAGATCCCATGACAATGACCTTCACAAGTCCAAATGCAGTCCTAGAGCCCATGACAATGTCCCATGCAAGTCTGTATCAAAGGCCTCCCCTGGAAAGGCTCACAGTCAGTGGTGGAAGCTAGAAAAGTTTTAGGAAATTTTGTGAAGTGACAGGGACAGGAAATAGTACACCAGGTCTGCAAGAGGAGAAACAATTCATTCAAAGAAGAGAGTATAAAAATTGTGATCTACAATGATTCTTATTTTTATTTGTGAATATTGGACTTAGATTACAATGGGATGAAAAAAATCTATGCAGTGATCCTTGCTCTTCGTCATGAGACTTGTTCTTCAAAACTTAAACCTCAGGGGGAGCTGGGGATTTAGCTCAGTGGCAAAAGCGCCTGCCTGGCAAGCGCAAGGTCGTGAGTTCGGTTCCCGATACCGGAGAAAAACCAAAAACCAAAAAAAAAACAAAAAAAAAAAAACAAAACTTAAACCTCAGGGCATTATATAACTTGTATGAAAGTCCAAAGGTCACAGAAACAACTGATTCTATCCCATGAAAGGGGTACTTTCTAAATTGTTAGTTTTAGAATATAAAAAACAATTTCCTATGAATACCATGTCTGTATAAGAATCACAAATATATTGTATCCACATAATATAATATAGATGCATATATTATTTTGCATTTGCTATGCTATTTTATTTTGTTTTGTTTGTTTTTGTTTTTCTTCCAGTACCAGGAATCGAACTTACAACCTTCTGCTTGCCAGGCAGGTGCTGTGTGGCTGAGCTAAATCCCCAGCCCCTGCTATGCTATTTTAAATAATGAATTCAACTAGCTATAAATGCAACTGTTCCATAAACTTTTATAGACTATAAATTGTATCCCTTCCATGCCAATCCAAACCAATACTAACATAATCAGTTCACAACCCAGGTTTAGCATTTTGCTTCTGAGACATACATATTATTATTTTAATTAAGTAACGTGATTATATTATGAATCAACTTCCATACAGCTATTCTTTCCCAGTTTAAACATTTTACACTTCTAAAATTGTCAGAACTCATCCCATGAAAATGTTGAATATATTATGTTCTATCAGCACTCCATCACTAGCACCAGCAGAGTACTACCACTAAATATTCCTGAACATTACTGAATTCTCACCCGTCACAATATATTCAATAGCTATTGTTTCTAGTTTCCTGGATCCAGGCTGTCTTTAAGAAATTTCTACCAACTTGGTCAGTGCATTTCTGTCCTTCTGCAGAGCTTTACATGTACTTCAGAGCATTAGTATGTCATGAAGACTTGTGATAATGTAGCTGAAGAGTTTAGTAGATATCTCTTCACATGACAGGCATAGAATAATTTGTAGTTCTTTTAACTTCCCTTGCTACTTCCCACTCCATGGCTGTTCTTAACATAGGTTGAGATTTTACTATTAAATATTGTGTGTGCCTGTGTTTCCTGGTTTCTGGAATAAAATAGCCCTACAAGCAACGTTAGAAATGAGGTAATCAGTATTTTCAAAAGTAGGCAAAGTGGCCTTTATTTCTTCAAAAAACAAAGAACATTCTTGTTCAAAGAGCCACAAACTGAAGGAAAAACATTTACTTAGCCAACTTCCATGTAATTGCCTGAGAGTGCAGCCCATGATAGCCACGGTGATATTCTGCCTGTTGTATACTCCATCATTACTGTTTCATGATGCATCTGTTAATGGTGTCGGCATATTAATGATTTCCCATTCATCACTCTGTTCCTCCACTGCTATTTCTAGTCTTCAGCTCCAGTTTCTCTAAAAAGAATGCTATAAAAGTGTCACAAAACATGGCTGAAGGAATCATCCAATAAGCAACTGTCACTGGAAGTTTCTGAGAAATTATCAATTATAACAAGGTGATCATTTGTCATTGTGTATAAATGCCCATTCATTCTCCCCCAACAGCATTGCTACCAATAGAGACTGAGACCCAAGCAGCCCCTTATTTTTGACTTTTCTTACCTCTTCTATAGAAATAGAGTTTGTGTTAAGCTATTTCTAAGGTACTGTGAGATCTCTCCCACCATCTGTCTCTGTCCAAAGGATAGGAGAGGAGTGGGAATCTACTAACAACACCAAAAAAGAGCTAAGGAAACTGTTCTGAGACATTTCCCTATGCAGAACTCTCTTTTGTGAGCTCAGGCTTCTCCCTGTGTCTGTGTTCTGTACTCAGAACTCACATAATCATTCCCTTGCTGGCAGTTTTAGGTCTCTCTGGAATGAAGACAACAGAAGATACTCAGCAAAATGAGAGTTTCTAAAAGTGGGAGGGAAAATAGAACTCCAAATATCCAGCACAAGGATATTGGACTTTTGCAGGAAAAGGAACTAAGTGAGCTTGTTGCCAGGACGATCTGCTGTGGTTGAGGGGTTGGGGAAAGGAAATGGGTAGCCTGCAGTTAGTTCTCCTGCTCCTGCCCTTGGCGGTCATTCATGGGGTCGAGGGCTATTTGGAGTGTGACCCCAAATTCACCGAGGATATTAGATCCTTGCTGGCAAATATGGTACCCCTGGATGTCCCTGGCTGAACTCAGCTGCTTGAAAGGCACTTTAAACTGATGGTTCATTTAAGCTTCAAGGTTTCCCACAAGGACAAGATGCTTCGGGTGTTAGGTGAGGGAAGCTGGAGTTCCTAAGTGTTTAGGGGGGATCGATGGAGGGGAGGCAGGGAAGAGAGCAACTGGTCATGCACACTTTCCTCCATGGGCTTTATTATTTCCCCATGTGTATTTTTCTTCATCCTCTCTGGCTGTTTCAAAGGTTGTCAAGTTGAGACTATGGCTGAAGGATGAATTTTATAGACTGGGCAATGACACATGGAAAGGTGAGGTTCTGTTTCATGTACAAAAGTCTGTACTGCCAGAGCAAATCTGAGGGAACTTGGGTGGGATAAACAAGACAAAACAACTAGAAGTAAATTCGAAAGGAAGGGCATCCTAATATCTGAATCCCATCCGTTTTGTTTTAGGTGCCTTTATCTTTCAAGGCAAGCTTCTCGATGTCCACCAAAACCTGGAAACCAAACTGAAAGAAAGACTGAAGGACTTCTCGGAAGTTGGTAATGGAAATTTTCTACCAAAACTGAAAGTTTCGAAAGAAAATAGAAAATGACAGGTGAGAGGAGGAACAATGGTTCAGATAATAGACATGTAGCATGGGTTGAGGGGTAGCTGGCACTTAATGGCCAAAAAGAGTTTTTAGCTATAAATATGGTAACCTCTAAGCTGATTCTAAGCTCATTAGAACTTTCTGGATCTCTTTTAGCTTGTTCTGAAGACTGCAGTGAGTACAGTACCTGTGATACCTTGAGGGCTTGGGTGGTTTTCCCACCTCTTTTGCTCTATGGGGTTCTATCTCTACCACCCATCACACTCAAAGCTATGGTTACTTGGATGAATATTAATAATATCAATATTAATAATATCTGATAACAAAAATCTAGCTTATGAAAGAATTCTGTTTACATTATTAAGATGCACAGATTTGGGATGTCCTCTGAGTTCTCCTATACAGATTTCAATCTACTGCACCAATATGAGCTTAGGTATCTTTACTTCCAGTCCTTCAGAGATCCAACTTAATTTATAGAAACTCCGTTAATAGGGGGAAAGGAATTTAGAGCAATGCAACATAAGAGTCTTGGGAATGCCTGGACTCTAATTCACCTGACAATTAGATCCACACTTGATGTCTAAACTAAGGAACTCCTTCACTACAGTCATTTTCTGATTACTTTTTCCTTTCTAACCAGTTGTGACTGAAGGTCCTGTCCTTGATTGTTGGACCTGTCTCCTCATCTCCATTCAGTGTTTCAAAGGGGAATACTGTGAAGGTAACATAGATGTAGTGAGGAGTTTTGAGGGGCTAGAGATCAAGGCCATGGGTTGTTTAATCATTTATTCCCCAAGTTGTTGTTGAGCACTTTCTATGTAGTTCATAATTATGTCACAAAATAAGAACTAAAATGTTGGGTAAAATTTTGGATAACTGGCAGTGAGCAGACTGAAGGTGTCAGAAATGAAAAAATTGATGTGAAATGGAACACTTGGGTAGAGGCTGGTAGGGCAAATGTTTTGTAATGTCTAAGAGTCTAACAGCACAAGTGAAAAGAATGTTGAGGAAACAGTGAACAAATGAGCTTTTTGAAGTCTGTTCTGAATAAAGGTCCCTTGTTACCTTTTCTTCCTCCAAAACTCATTTTTCATTCTGCCCTTCCTGCATCCAGAAGACGATCCAAGGAAGGCTGAGATCAAGAGATTATAGTATTTTTGACAGTCCTAACAGAAGCTGTACTACTGACAAGTGCTGTATTACTGTGAGTAAATTCTCCCTCCAAAAAAAATACGGGGCCAATCATTCCCACACCAGAGAGAAAACCTTAACTTTCTTTTCCCTGTTAGAAAAAAGTCCTTCCTATTCCCATGTCAACAGTCATCATAACAGTCATAACAGTCCTTCCTATTCCCATGTCAACAGGAAAGAAAAGGATGGAAATGTTATGGGGTAATAGGTGAACCATAAGGGAAATGAAAAGATACCTAGAAAGAAGAAAGTAGACTTGTTTAAGAGAGTGCAGCTATTGATAACACAGTTTGGGTTATCTACTTTCTCTACTCTAGCTTCTATATCTGTATAACTCACCGGAGGAAAATGAAGAGAATACGAAGCTTACTAAAGCAATATTTGCGAAGAAACTTGAATATTTAGTGAGGATGACAGACAAAGAGAAGGAGAAAAATATTTTGAATGTAGAAAAAAAATAGAAAACTATGATGATTCTCTTAAATATTTACTCAGTGTAGAAAACTGAGTAAATATAAAAAACTGAAATAGAATGTAGAGTTTCTCAAAGGAAGATGCTCACTGATACCCTGAGGCAATGGATGCAATGAGAGGGCAAGTGGTCTACCCTAAGTTGTGCAGAAAGTAATGCTGCTATGTTGCAGTGTGTAGAAAAGAGAGTATGCTGTGTGATAATGACGAATGCATCATTAGTAACTCATCTACAGCTGTAGTTAGGGCAGATTCTACATTTCTAAGTCTAGTTTTTATTTTTTTCTTTTGTTACTGCACATATATATATGGGCATATACATATGTAATATATATTACTAGGTAATATATAATGATTATTATTTACATATATATTAGTAATACTTATATATTGCTAGGTGCTAAGTTCAGTGTGAATTCTTTTCTTGATGATATATGAGGTTCAACTGAGAAATATGTTGAATGTTTAAATTTGAAAACTGATTAGAGTAAGAACATATTGCCACTAATCCTCACAAAAATATTCCCCCTTACTTCAAATACACTCATCATTTCCGCCACTGAAGAAACCCTGGAAGTCCTTTTTCATCCATGTCTTCCATGCTGGCTGCCTCAATGTCCCGAACCTACTGAAAACTTTTACTTGTCATGATTATTTTGACTTTGGGGAAGAGCCAGAAGTCACACAGTGCCCGAGCTGATAGGGAAATGGATGAGGACATGCCACAATGTTTTCGTGCCTGCTTTTCTGTCAGATGCATGCAGCAGCAACACTCACTATATTTTGGTCACACCTCAAAAATACATCCACGAAAGATAACTTAGAGAACTGCTTCAGAAAGTGGCCAAAATGATGGGATAAATTTTTTGAAGTGAGGAGGACTATGCTGAAAGATATTACTGGCAATATGCCTGTAATAATTGTTTTAATTTAAACACTCATCATGTATTTTTGATGACACTTTGTCAATTTAGACTTTATTATATAACAATCATATACTCAGAAAAGTCCAAAATATTAGTCCCAAATAAATAAGGTTTGTCCCAATCATTTTCTTCTAAATCTATGTTCCAAGATGAAATTAACTATTAATTATTCACTTTTATTTGTTTTCATGGAGTATATTTTATATGCTTAGAACCTTAATGAGTGTTTTGCATATACTAGCTAATTGAATTGTCCCAGTAATCTTGTAATAAAGCTGTTGTCTTCATTCTAAGGAAGAAAACAGAGAATAGGTCTGTTTGAAGATCACAGGTACTAGGCTGTGACCTATTGCTCTGGTATCTGACACAGGCTTATAAAACCATCTCATTGATGCTGACATTTAAAGATATACCTTTATGATAGATTAATGAACAGATGATAAAAGTGGGCTATTAATCTATCGTAAAGGTATATCTTTAAATGTCAGCATCAATGAGATGGTTTGGTAAGCCTGTGTCAGATACCACAGCAATAGGTCACAGCCTAGTACCTGTGATCTTCAAACAGACCTATTCTGTGTTTTCTTAATTATACAGCTAGTATATGGTAAAGCCTGGAATTAAAGAAGTCTCCTTAACTCAAAACTTCATGAACTTTTCATTCCTTTTTTTTCCCCCCTTGGAAGTTTATTTTAGAAGAGAAGCCCTACAGTTTACCAGCAGGAATAACTTACAGGTACTCTGACTCAATGGTGGAAAGAGGTATTTGCAATTCTTTCACACATTGTGATCCTCTCAAATGTTTGCTTATTACTGCTACATTAATGTGATAATGAATAAACGAAAATATACTTAGGGGGAACCTGAACACTGATATGTCTCAGGTGGTAAACATGAAATTTTATTAGATTTTGTGGCTATTTGTGGGGGTTTCTTGTTTGAGTGCAATATTTTATTTCAATATATATTGTCATATTTTAATAGAGTGCTCAAAAATTGCAGTGAGATTTTATTTTTTTTTATTTTAAAGATAGTAGTAAATGAGGAACAAAGAAACAAACAAAATAGAACAGTAGCAGCATACCAGTATCATGAACATATACAAATCAGAGCAAGAACATTCAAAGTGAAACAGGGTCTAAAGACAAAATAATACAAATTAACAGTGGTTGTTACATTACATATCACTGTCCTCAACTACATTGCTCAGATTACCAGATGTGAGAATGAAAGTTTGCTCAAACCATTAAAGAGAATAAGAAAATAATTCTTCGGCAAAACATTAGAGATAATACAGAGCATCACTAGACCACATGGTAGGAGTTCATCATTGTAATTCCAGTGCATATTTTTACCTTCAAATCAGTTGCTCAGACCACCAGACACAAGCATGCAAAGTCGATCAGAACATAAAACATTGTGAGCATTAATTGTTCATTTCAGTACACCATCAGACATCAGCAATACAGTTATCACAGCTATTCATATATATATTTATATTTTGCCTTCCTTCTTTCTTTTTTCTTCTTCCCTGCATCCCAGTCATTCCTTTCTTTGAGAAATTTCTTTCCTTTTCCTATCATCTATTGTACATTTTGAGTTTTACCTAGTCTTTCAGATTCCTACACCAAAGAGACAGTATGATGCTTCCATATGTGCATCCAATTGATTTCACTTATGAGTATGGTCTCTACTTGCATCCATTTACCTACAAAAGCCTCGAGTTCATCTTTTTAAATAGTTGAGTAATACTCCATTGTAGAAAAATACCACTTGTTTTTTATCCATTCCTCAGAGGATGGGCCTCTGGGTTGTTTCCAAGATTTAGCTATAATAAACTGTGTGGCTATAAACATGGGTGCACATATATCGCTGTGCTATGATGTCTTTAATTCTTCTGGGAAAATACCGAGAAGGGGAATAGCTGAGTTAAAACGGACTTCCAATCTTAGTTTTGTGAGGAATCTCCAAATTGATTTTGGAGTGGTTTCACCAATCTACAGTCCCACCAAAGTGAAGTAGGGTTCCTTTCTCCCCACAGCCTTTCCAGCATTTGTTATTGGTTGATGTCTTGATGATAACCATTCTTTCTAGGGTGAGATGAAATCTCAGTGTTGTTTTAATTTGCACTTCTCAAATGATCAATGACTTTGAACATTTTTACATGTATTTATTCACCATTACTATCTCTTCATTAGAGAAGTGTGTATTCATCTCAGATGCCCATTTTTGGATTGGGTCTTTGAACTTGGGGGGCCTGATTATTTAAAATTCTTTATATGTCCTAGATAGAAGTTCTTTGTCTGAGGGGCAGTCGGCTAAAATTTTTTCCCAATTCATGGGTTTTATTTCTACTTTATTGGTGATTTCTTTAGATGTGCAAAATTTCAATAAGATGAGATCCCACTTGTTGACTTTTTGAAGTATTTCCCATGCAGTCTGGTTTTTGTTCGTGAACTCTCTGCCTACTCCAATGTCGTCAAGATTTTTACCTACCTTCTCTTCCAATGAATTTAGTGTTTCTGTTTTAATATTTAGGTCTTTGATCCATTTTGACTTTAATTTAGTGCATGTTGAAAGACAGGGGTCTAGTTTTATTCTTTGGAATGTAGAAAGCCAGTTTTTCCAGCACCATTTATTAGAGAGGCTATCTTCCTTCCTGAACATGCTTTGCCCCTTTGTCAAAGATAAGGTGATTGATTGTGGGTGTAATTGTATCTGTATAGTCTAATCTGTACGATTGATCTTCAGGTCTGTTTTTGTGCCAGTACCATGCTGATTTAATCACAGTAGCTTTGTCATATAATTTTAAGTCAGGAAGTGTGATGCCTTCTGTCTTTCTTTGTTTCTCAAGATTGATTTTGTTATTCTAGGCCTCTTCTGGTTCCAGATGAACTTTAGGAATGTTTCCCCTAGATCTGTGAGGTGTACTAATGGTATTTTAATTGGAATTGCATTGAATCTCTACAACAGTTTTGGGAGTATGGCCATTTTCACAATGTTTGTTCTTCCTCTCCATGAGCAAGAAATATCTTTCTATTTTCTGATATTCTCTTCCAGCTCTTTTTTCAGAGTACTATAATTTTCACTGTATAGATCTTTTACTTCTTTTGTTTGATTGATTCCTAAGTATTCCCTCTTTTTAGATGCTAGTGTAAAAGGTGTGGTTTCCCTAATTTCTCTCTCAGTCTGTTTGTTACTTGTGTACAGGAATGCTATCAATTTTTGAGTATAAACTTTGTATCCAGCTATGGTACTGAATTTGGTTATTAAAGCCATAAGCTTTTTGGTGGAGTTTTTGGGATCTCGTATGTAGAGTATCCTGTCATCTGTGAATAATGAGAATTTCACTTCTTCCTTTCCTATCCTTATTCCTTTTATTTGCCTGTCTTGTCTAATTGCTCTAGCCAATATTTCCAGAACTATATTGAATAGGAGTGGTGACAGTGGACATCCTTGTCTTGGTTCTAAAGTGAAAGCTTTCAATTTTTGATCATTTAGTATGATGTTAGCTATTAGTTTATCATAGATGGCTTTGATCAGCTTGAGGTAAATGCCATCTATTCCTATTTTCTGTAGTGTTTTCAACATGAATGAGTGCTGGACTTTATTGCAGGCTTTTTCTGCATCAATGGAGATGATCATGTGATTTTTGTCCTTGGCTCCACTGACATGGTGTATTACATTAATTGATTTGTTTACATGGAACCATCCCTACATTCCTGGTATGAATCCCACTTGGTCGTGGTGTATAATCTTCTTGATGATTTGTTGTATTCTGTTTGCTAGTATTTTATTGAGAATTTTTGCATCTATATTAATTAGGGAGATTGGTCTGTAGGTCTCTTTTTTGATTGGGTCTTTCTCTGGTTTTGGTATCAGGATAATACTTGCCTCCCTAGTGAGGTAGGGAGAATTCCTTCCCTTTCAATTTCATTAAAGAACTGAGAAGAATTTGTATTAACTCTTCCCTAAATCTCTTGTAAAATTCAGCTGTGAATCCATCAGGACCTGGGCTTTTCTTCATTGGCAAGTTTTTAAAT